GGCACAGCGCAGCTCAGCTGTCCCCTGAGGCCTGGAATGATCGATTTACCTGTCAATGAGAAGGCCATGCCGCTCGATGAAAGCAACTCTGGGGTGGGGGGGGGGGGGATCTCTCTCTGTGCTTGCGCTATTTGCTTTGCGCTTTGCTTTTGGGGCCCGCCCTGGAGCTGGGAGCCGAGGAGCGAATCCAAAGGCCGTGGTTACAACTTTGTGGAGGTGCGATGTGCGAAGATGTGCTCGAAGTGATGCGCGAAGCGCAGTGGGGAGCGCGTGCGAGGTGGTGCGATGGTGGGCAAAGCGCGCTGATTTGGTCCTGCTGCTCTTCGATCCAGACAAGCCAGGGCGTGGAGCTCAATGAGCTCGAATGACTTGTACCACAAGAGCTGCAGCTTCGACCAAGGACCACTGGAGAGACCTTAGACGTGCTGACGAAGTCGCTGTCGGGTCTGCAGCTCCTTTGCATGAAGCCACCTCTGCCATGCCATTCGGGACTCACCTCGTGAAATGAGGAACCACAAGTTTCTCGTGATCCTGAACAAGGCGATGCTGGAATCACGACACAAGTCAAACGGCTTGTTTGCAGCTGAGCAGGTTGACAAACTGGACAACAGCGTGGACTTCGCCCGTGCATATGGTGCCCTAGGATGGGCACTATCCAAGGTTATCAAGCGTAAGGCGGGAGGGGAGGGATTCAAGAAAGTTGAGCAGGTGTGGAGGATTCTGCATGCTGCATCCCCAGCCAGGACATTCCGGCGATCTATACAATGTTCAATGAGGGAATGGAGTCATCAGGCAAAAGCAAGTACCCTTCCGGAGCGGCTCGCATTAGAATCATTAGACTGCTCGCCTCTGAGAGGACGTGAAGGCCTGCCCTTGGAGCGCTTTGTGAAGAAACGCGAGGAGGCGCCTAGCCCAAGGGCTGAAGCGGCTGAAGCTTCGGAGTCGCTGATCGGTTCGCGAAGGTCATTCTGGAGGTGCTCAGAGTTCGAGAGAGGCACAATGATAATATCATCACTTCCCTTGAGGACAGAGGTGGCAGATCTTAGATGATTTTAGTACTTGCTTCGCGGTAGCCGCACAGCAGCCGAAAGGAAAGGCAGGCGGATAGTGAGGCATGTGGGCATGCAGGAGACCATGCGCCAGATGCAGATGCTGGTTGGAGTGGTTCATCGGCTGCGGCACAAAGCCAGTGACCGCTATTGGAGGCTCAAGGCACGGACGCTGTCCAAACAAGCGACCATCACGTGTGTGTCATGTCGTGTGGCGGCGTCTCATGGTTCGCTGTTGCACATGTGACGGTGTCTCGTTAGTCCGTCTGCGGAAGGCCTGCCAGTCTTTGGCATGTCCGTCAGTCTGTACTGTGTGTGTGTGTTTTTTTTGTTGTGTCGATTTGCTCTGCGATTTTGCCGCGTTAATGTAAAGGGTATATAAAGGTTTTGCCGTCCTGTGTCGCAGGTGTGGGCCATTTTCAGTGCGCTGATGCCTGCGACTGCTTCAGATTCACAGTGTCCTTGCATCACCGATTCTGCCACAGACTGGTGATGACTCAGGTCCTTGGCATTTACAAAATCATGCATGTGGTGCCTGCCCAAGCCTGAAGGGAGGTCACAGGAGTTTGCAAGTTCAAAACCAAGCAGATTTCGGCTTCACTCCGAGCTGTAGTTCCACTTTTCCTACAGAAACTGCGCTGCCCTGTCCGCAAACATCCTATCAGTACAGATATTGGGTGTGACTGGAAGTTCTCAGAACAGGAGTCAGCAGAAAGGCTTAGGTTGAAGCGCCCCTCTTTCGCGGACACTGGTGAATCTTTCACCGGAAATTGTGAAGTGTGAGCGCGACTTGATTTTGTAACTGGTGAGTGACATTATGTGACATTGTTACATGTTGACACGCAGGCCAAGCAGCTAATCACACATAATCACACCTTATTCCCAGCGCTCGGTGCATCATGCCTGAGGCAGCCGCGAGCATGCGAATGGCCGCTGAGATGGCCGCTGCAGATCTAGCAGCGTCAAGAGCAGAAGAGCTTCCAAGTTTCTTGGCCCGCGCTTCCAACACATCTGGGATCCTTTACAAATAAGTCCCTTTCTTCTTGTATCGCATCATTTTCATGATACGTATCTGGACTCTACGCAAGGCCGGCGGCATTGGGGCGGATGGCTGAGCTCTCGAATGTGGTGCAGACTGCAACTTGCACGTGCCTGACCACACGCCATGGCAAGAGCGGGCCAAGGGTTTCTGCGACGAGCAGAACCCACTCCAACAGCTCCACCAGAGCCTGTAGGCAGCGACGCCCTGCCTGTGCCTGTGCCGGCTGAAGAGACATACTTTGAGATAGACTCGGTGGATGTTTGGCTTATTGGTTCGGGCTTGACGGTTGTAGAATCAAGCGCACAGGCACTGCTGAAGAGCAAGGGTCTCGGTCGTGCCGGCAAGCAGGTGTCCTCTTAAAGATTCTTCAAGCATGTCTTGCGTGTGTCCATGCTGTCCATGCTATCAACGCCCAATGCTTTGAGGTTCTACCCATTCGGCACATGGGTCTACGTGACCGCTGTTGACTCAGTTGCTATCACTGAAATCGCGATGGTCGCCGTCGCAGAAGTCGGCTGCGGCATGCTGCGGCCAGCACGCAGTCGCTGCAGGTGCTTCTTGTGTATTTACTTTTTCTCGCTGGCGTCCGCATCCCGGTTTTGTGTCAACCAGCTAGAGATCTATCGTGTTTCGAAATCTCCAGGTGCTGAAGATGCTGTGGGACAGCTTCACTCAGTGCGGATCGCAGCGCTCATGCTGTGATTCTCTTCTCGCTTTCGTTGTCAGTCTTTCGCTCACTCCCTGTGGGCATGTGGGTGGCTGTGTCAAGGGTCTCCTGCCTGGTTAAAGTGTTAGCGCAATGTGTTGTAGGCATTTTCTGTTGAACATGGTGGCATTGCAGCCCGAAGCAGGTATCAGAAAGAGCTCTATGTAACCCTGGAGGCGACATTTGATGAGGCCAGTTGCTCAGTAGTTCGGAGCTTGAAGGTCACAAGTGCTTTCTGCAAGTTGTCATCATGAGAAACTTGCAAAGGAAGATTTGAGTGTGTGACTTGCAGACAACCTTGGGCATGGACAGGCCCACGCAGTCATAAACTGAGAGCCCAGACTCCTAGAGCAGACGCACCAAGAATCACCAGACTCAGGCAGCGAAAGCTCCCTCACGTGCACCATCGGCTTCGGCTCCAACCCCCTAGCAGCCCTAGGAACAAGCAAGCAGGATCAAGCAGGCGAGCAAGAGCTCCCAGAGCCCCCTCGCCACGCAACGCTGCGCCTGCCATTGAAGTTACGCATCCGGAGGACGTGGGCGTGCACACTGCGCGGTGACAGTACAGTACAACTTCACGTCGGTTCTGCGTTTTGTGATGTTTTGTGAACCGAATTGAACCAATGTAAGCTGGTGCAACCAGCTTGATGCCAACAGCCCAGCTTGTGGTGCTGTCTGTCCACAAGCTGAACTCTTTTTTGGTTTGATCATGCTAAACCGACAGACCCATGGACGATTCTACACCTCCACCGGGCAGAGATTCAGCTTGTCCGGGTCAAAGGGAGTGCACAATGCCACTGACCCTTGACTGCGCACATCAACGCATGAGACGTCGTACCTTCCGTGAGCGGAACGGGGGCCAACCCGAAGCAGCAGAAGCAAGCAGCTGCTTCGTGGTCACCATGCTCAGCTCCACCGTCAATCACTGCATGCTTATGGAGAACCATGGAACCAAGCCGGCTTCCATGTGCTCGGAAGCACTTCCGGCAGGTAGCCAAGACGAACAAGGAGCAGGAACATTGCAGTTCCAGAAGATCAGAACGAAGCCAGGAACTGCCAACGCTACAGCCGGAATGCAGGGGTTTGACAGTGGCATCATGTGGCGACCGTGTGTGATCCTGCAGAACTGCTTGCGGTGTGGACGAGTACTTTGTTATGGCACGGCTGCTTTCTGACTGACTCCATAATGTCGGGATCATTGCTCAGGTCTTCTATGACAAGTTCATACATGATGAGGGCGAGGATGCAACAACTTGCTTGCACATGCAGCTCCAGCTGTCGGGGTGACGTGTTACTGTAGACGCTGTCGCACGAGGACCTTCGCTCCAGATGGAACGTTGTGCGGCCAAAGGTGCAGTCTATCCTGCAGGCCAGCAGGATAGTCGGAAGAGAACTGTGTTTACATTCAAAGCGCCAGGCGAGAAGCTTCTACCCTCTCCTTCCCTTCGTAGCTGGCTGGGAGATGCAGAGGCGATTCCGAAGGCCTTTCGGCAAGGGGTCTTGTCCATCGGCTGCAAGGATATCTGAAGCACTGCAGACGGACGTCTGGTACCTGCGCCAACTGGCCCGCCAGCCTCGACCTCGGCAAAGCTCGGCAATGCACCATGCCATGCAGTGCTGGTAAGCTGCTGGCAAGGGTTTTCCCCTCTTCCGAGGTTGCGGCAGCCTCCCAGCCCTTCGACTCCCACGCGTGGAAACTCACAGCAGGGGCGTGGCACTGACTGCACCAATTTGTCAGAGGTCTCCTTTGCCATCGTTTGCACACCGAGGCCATTTCTATGACCGCAAATCATCCTTTGCGAGCTGTAAGGCCTCTTCTAGCCTGTTGGATGTCTGCTGGCGGTAGGCCCCCGATGCCACTGTCAAAGAAATTCATGCAGGAACACTTAGCTCCGCTTGTCTAGAGCAGTCCAAATCACGCAAAGCTGCTGAGATTTGCCACTGCTGTGTACACATGTCGTCGTCACTAGCGAAGACTCCGTTCCATTGCAACGAAAGTATCGGTCTCGATCCCATGACGCGCTTGTTCGCTTCCAGCTGGTGGTTGCCAAAGTGCATTCATGATCCCTGGCGCAATGGTCCGAGCAGTCGTTCCGCCAGTGCAAACAGAGTTAGTGCTCACTGGGCACCATGGCTTAAAAAGACTATGTCTCCGAGTGCCTCCCAGAAGCATCGACGTGGCCCATGGCATCAAGACTTTCCAGCCAATTGAGATTCGAACGAGCTGTAGGTTCGCCTGGTGGTTCGGCCATCGGACTTGGCATGTCAAAGGCAACTGGTGCCTGGAATCAGCTTTTGCTACGGGTGGTGATATGATATGATAATGCATGCAGGCAGCCAGACAGCATGCGGCAGCGTGGGAGGCACCTGCTTGAGCCTTCTGTTCATGTGAGTCAAAGCAGCGCATTGAAGCTCATTGCTCATATTTCGAGACATGTGACCTTGAGGGCAACGACCCATTCGGAGGACCCAGGCACAATGCACAGCCGTTTCAGTTTCCTTTGTGGTGTGAGCATGTTTGTGAGTTTAATTAAGTCTGCGGTGCGCCGAGAATTGAAAGAACAGACATAGAGAATGGTAGAAAGACGGAGATCCCACTCAAAGGTGACTGTTGTTGTGGTAGTGTTGGCAGTGCGGGGGGAGAGAAATGGAAAGGCATCGTAGTGCAGAGCTTGTGCTTGGGATGGGGTGCAGGCGGCTGTCGGGAGGTTGAGTGAAGAAAGAGTCGCGAGTTGCGGCTAGCAAGTCGTTGGCGCAGCCTCTGACCAGGGCGGTCTAGGTCTAGGCAAAAAGAGTGACTTCCGATCATCCCGTCAAGCCCGCTTACTTGTAGTCCTGCCTGAACTGGTTTCCGGCTTGAACTCGGGTGAGTTTGCTTGCAGAAGGTCGGCGAGCGGTCTGGCACAAGTTGCACAGAGATCGAACTCAGTGTCGGTGACGGGCTCGGGAAATGTCGGGAGAGGACTCTGGTCCAACGTGGATATGCTCTGCTGAGGCAGAGAATCCTCTTGCTGCACTAGCGAGATGCCGTGCTAGGTGACGGGCCCTTCCGCTAGCGTGCCAGCGATGGTCAATGTCGCGAGAAGGAGCTTGACCACACATCCAGAATTTTCAGCTTGCCTTCGCAGTTCGTGCAACGGACATTCGAGACTAGCAAGCACTTCTGCGACCACCGTGTCACTTTGCCGCTGTGGTCAAGTCGTTGGATAGAGTTTGAAAAGGGAAGGACCGAGCCGCTGTTGTTTCCCATATAAACTGCCCCGTTCCCGCCCTACCTTTTCGTTGCTTGAGCTTCGACGTTGCTTGACAAATATCTATCTAAAGGCCGGGGCCCGGGCGACCCGACGGATGCCTTTTCCAAGGGCATTTACCGAATAGCCCCAACCTGTACTTCAGAGTCTCTTCAAGTGTCCGTACTGGACCTGCATATGCCGTCCTGCTGCTGAGTTACAGAGCAAGCATTACAGAGCGTTCGTTGCAGCAATGTGCATGCCGTCGCCGCCATGGACATGTTTCAACAGTATTGCAGACCTTGATTCCGCTCCACAAAGAGGAGCTTCGCGGTTTTACACTTACTCCGACAGCCAAGAAGCAACTTAAGCCAGTTCGTTCCACTGCATGACAGCGCAGCACAATTCCATGGAACATGAATGGACTGGTCGCAGAACCAGCGCTTGCAAGTCAGGCCGTCGTGGGTCGGCAACACATTTTGTGATGCATCATTGATAGAGCATGTGGTTGCTCTTGATGAGTAGGTTACTGGTAGGACCACGTGCCACATCAGGCATATCAGGTTCTTTAGAGGGGGTAACGTTACAAAGCATTGACGTGTCACGTGCTAGAAGGACAGGTGATCGATCTCAGACACAAGGACTCGCAAAGTCCAAGTCCTGACTTTGCTAAGCCTGCACTCCTGTTGCTAATCCATGATAACTGTTGTGTGCTGGGGCGGGGGGGGGGGGTCGTGGAAGGCTGGGGGAGAGCTAGGAGCCGAAGCAGCAATCGTAATTAGGGGCAAAAGGGAGTATGGAAAAGGACTCATAGATTTGACTCAGAGAGCCTCAGATCTGCATTGTTTTTGGGTGTCCCCCAGCGAGTCTCGATTAGAGTTTCAGTCTGGCAGGTGACGTGTCGTTTCCACTTTTGCAGGGGTGCCCGGAGCAGGTTCGGGGAAGACGGCGAGCGATTCCTCGTAGAGCATATGCCAGCAGATCACAGCTCCTTTTCGCGCAATGAGAGTTTTTCTTGCTTGTCTACGGCGGCGGCAGTCGCAGTTCCACATGTAGTTTCACAGAGGCTGCGGCTTCCATGGAATTGGCATTGACAGACGAACAGCGACTCGGCTCGGCATGGCAGACGGTCGTGTCGTCTCACCCTGAGACTCAAAGCCCATCGCAGGCTGCAGCACTGCTGCTGCAAAGTTTAGGTGATCCAGAAGTGAAGGACCCGATGCTTAGATTCAATGTAGATGCAGAAGATTGAAGATATTGAAGGATTTCTTGGCATCAGATCTACTCGCTGCCATCCAGACAGGACCGACTCCGACCTAGATCGCTGTAGAGCTGCAGAGCCTTGAGACGGTCACGAGCAGTTTTTGGAGAGGAGAGAGATCTTCTTTTCCTCGAGAGCTTCGCCATGACACAGATCTTTGGACACACCTCGCCGACTACTATCGTCGGCAGGAGGCACAGGCGACAGCCACGCATGCCACGCGTGGTGTAGCTTAGTCGCTGACTGGTGAAGGCTTTGGATCACAGACGCCGCGAGGCATTCCACTGAGCTTACTCCTTGTTCCTTATATCGCAGTGACATTGACATTGTGAGGGCCACTGTCGGGTTGGAAGGCAACATCCTTTCTTCAAGATGTGGGCGCTTCTGCCGTCGTTCAGGTCCGCCTTGCAGCGATTGTGACTGTGAGGCTTGTGATGACATTATCATGTCTTGCTGGACACTTGCCGAGAAGGCGTCGTTCAAGAAGCGCCAGAGAGAGAGAGAGAGAGAGAGAGAGAGAGCACAACTGCATAACCTTCGAAATCATTGACCGAACTCAACCTCGACTGTCAGCGACCTGCACAAGCATCGTCATACAACCCGGGCGGAGCAGACCTTCTGCCTTGGCGCAAAGGAGCACCCCGAGGCTCGCAAACACAGTGGAGTTCCGTTCGGCGACGTCTTGCAGCCTTGCAAATTTGAAAAGCGGTCCTTAGCAGGAGAAATCCTGGCAGCTTAATGCACTTCCTTGGGTCCTTAAGTTCCCAACCCCTCTGCAGCTCTGCAGCTTTGTCGGTGTCACAGCAAGAGTAAGAGTGGCTTTTGGCTATGGTGGAGGGGTCCGAACCCTAAAGTTTTAGCGGCGCGCTTTACCTAACTCAGCACCAAGTCTCAGGTGAGGCAGCGAGAGGTTGAATGGGACACGTTCCCGCGGTATTCGGCCCGAAGTTGCAACAGACATGACTTCAGAATTCATTGTCGGAATGACATAGACCGACAAACCACCAGGGTCACGACGAAATGCCAACGAATACAGACACCCTCAAGCGTGGTACTGACAACACGCAATCGCAACAGGACGTGCAGGTGCAGGTACTGATTGCGGTGTGTTTGCGTGTAAACTGCAGGTGCGTCGACCTTGCCAAGTCCCAGAGAAGTTCTGTCAACTCTTTCAAGTTTTCTCTTTGTTTTTGGATGGTCCTCGTCCCTGAAATGTCCGCGAGTGGGACGAGCGTTTAGCCATCATGATGTTTTTCAATGCATCAGATCAAAAGACTGACGAACCCAGCCGAGAATTTCTTGTGGGACATTGTGAACAAGTGACATCAGATGCGGTGCTCTTGCCGTGAACTAGATGCATAAAGCTGCCTGTGGAAAAGAACTACGTAATGCTAGATTCCATTTCGACTTTGACAAAGAAGCGCAAGCTATTATGTTTGGGAGGCCCGATGTTGGTGCCCACTCTTACTGAAAGTAAAAGTCAGAAGCACTCAGCGCCAGACCATTCGGACAACCTCCTGTTTCACCCCTGACACCCTCCATTTTCGCGTGCCAACCACCAGCTTCAGCTGAGTTTGAGATAGTTTGAGGAAAGCAGAAATGACGAGATTCACCTTCCAATCCAACCCACCTGGCAAAAGTTGGATGCGGCATGCAGAGTTTTTCCGTCAGCATTGCGCTGAACTTACCGGAAGTGCCCAAGCGGCTACTCAGCTGCACAGTGTCGATGTTGATGCCACAGTATCCGAGAAAGCAGTGAAACCAGGAGCTTGGCAATCAGAGCGCACCAGAGTTCCAATCTCTGCGCAGCCAGGGAGCCGTAGAAAGACTCGGCCTGGTGGAGGTGATGAGCTCAGGCACAGACATGTCGTTGAACATCGTTGAACGCATGCTTGCATGCAGTTACGACGCATTGCTGAGGAGTGAACCTCCACTCTTTCTGTCTTGACGTGAGGCCTTGAGACTTTTCTTCAATGAGCTGAAGGACAAGGCAAGTTGCGATGACTAGTCGAAAGATGCGGATGAAAGAGGCATGTCGTCTTATCCTGTGGCCCTCGATTTGACACAAGCCGCAACAAGGCGGCTAGCTAGACCCCAGGAACAGAATGCCCACACTCGAAGACGCACATTCGCATGTGATCTTCGCCGGAGTATCACAGAAGTCTTTGGTCCAGTCGCAGCCACTGGTGGCTCTCGGGCACATTAAACAGGTGTCAGTGTTCACGACATCAGAGTCGTCAGCCGCGTTATGCAACGTCCATTGTCACTTCGAGATTTGTGGAGTTGCCAGGCCTGCAAGGACACAGCTTTGCAGAAAAGAACGGCTGCAAACTAAACCAAGATCTGTAAAGCTCTTCAACCTCAAGGGCGATCGGCAAGTGAGCGTGTTCTTTGTCTAGAGTATGTCAAAAGGTTCGTGTTTGGTTTTGGTGTTGCCGGAACTCAAAGTACACACGGTGCCGCGGTATTGAACAGTGATCATGTTCCTCGTTTAACCAGCGTACCAAGAGCGAAACGAAATCAAGCTTGCAGCGAAAGCCATGAACAACGGCACGCACAGCTCACGGCACGAGTTCGATGCCAACACCCCACAGCTTTCCAACGGACTGGAAGTGCCAGCTCTAAATATCTCCTCGAAATCTCAAGAGAACCGAGAGCTGCGAAGCAACATGAAGCCACATCAAGCCGTTCCCGCCATCAGTGCGTCCCCATCTTGAATGTACAGCAAGGCATTGTGAGAATCGTGTTCTGATCAGCAATGCATCTCTCCCTCCTGCTTTCTCTGTATCTCCGTTTGCCTAGGCCTAGATCCGTCTGGCCTTCTGTCTGTTTCGTTGGCTGCACCTGTTTGCCAGCGCGCCGCAAGGCTGCTTCGCTCCCAAGTGGCCGCGAAAAGCTTCTGGCATTTCAGCTGCTGGCACAATGCAGGGGGCTTTCTGGATGCGGGAGTGCCCTCACAGCCTTTGGTAGTGTTCTGTGCTCGATCAAAATGCAGTTCCGGGTGCGGTGCGCAATGCCTCGATCGAGGTAAATCGCAAGAGAAGGAGGCGGCCGCAACTGCGGCTGCGACAGCTCAGGCCTAACCCTGCCTGGCCAACTAGATCCGTGATTGAGCATCCTGGCCTTGCATCTTAGGCGCTGGAAAGACTGCGACAGCAATGTGTCAGATGCATTTCTGCGCCTGGTGGCTAAGAACCGGCTTGGAACACTTGAGTTGAGCTGGCTCATTATTGAGGTATGTCTCATGGGTCGGAAGTGACGACACCTTCTGGCTTTCGTTTCTTCGTGGTTGCGGAAGACCGGGGCCTAAAAGCAGTCGTGCTCAGTCATGTCAGGTTGTTTTGGAAGGCCAAGAAGTAACATGGCCATTCGCATCTGAAATTGTGTTCTTCACGAGGCTCAGAGCATTCTGGCGGACTGCTAGATGCCATCGCAAAGGCTGAGGGGACCTCGAAGTTGTATATTAGTTTACTTGGCATATTTTTCGAAAGACACGCTCTTGCACATGAGACCTTCCTTTGGCCTGAGCTTGGGTGAGCTTGCAGGTCGCAGGCCTCACCATCCGGGTTTGGGCTGAAGGCACGCAATCAGTTGCTCTGCGCTTTGAACTTTGCATCAAATCTAAACTCCATTCATTGCAGGTCACCAAGCCCCGCTGCTGTCATTGTTGCACGAAGCACGGTTTGGCAGCCGCCTGGTGAACCTTTGGTGCGCTCCAGCGTATGGAATCAGTGTGAGTATGCTTCCAGAATCTTGCAGACATGCGATGCGAATAGGCCGCCGCAAGGACCTGATCTGCTTGCCTAGCATGTTGAGTTTCGAGTCAGCTTGACATAGCGACTTCCCAGCTCCGGCAGCACAGGTACCAAAGTGAGCTCGGGCACTTTGATCGCTTAGTCCCCTGTGGTTGAAAACGTACTGTAGATTTTGACGGCGGGGAGTCTTCCGGAGATTGTTGGCCTTGATTACATTGGTTTCGTCTGCTGTTGCTGTGTCGGTGGCGAGAGGCGCTTTCCTCCATTTGTCACGTTGAGTTGGCCAGACTTTGCAAGGTGTTGCTAATCATCCGGTACAGTTCACTCGAACACGCCTTAATTCTGGCTTGCAGGTGTTTTTTCATAGCGGCTTCTCATACCCAGCCTATCTGCGCATGAGTCACCTGACACAGTCTCGATCAGCTGGTTGAAGCATGTTGAAGCCGATCATGGCCGCCGCCTCAATCAAGCGAAAGCATCTCGCAATGTCTCGCAAAGCAATTCGCAAAGCTGCTCCAACGTTAAAAGCCGTCAATTTTTCCCACATGAGATTAAAACTAGCCTAGCATTGCACGATCAAAAGCACCCACAATACGTCACACTACCCTCGGCCATAACTTGGTTCAGAGTCAGATGGGCATAGGTTGTGCATTGCTGGTAGCATTGCCTGCAACGAATGGACTAGGCCTGTTGCAATTTGTTCGGTCTCATCATCACAATTGCCAGCGTTGGTCGCCACAAGACGGCGCCCTTGCAGGCACCGGCTTTTGCGAGCTGCCCGCAGAACTGGTCGAGTATCTGGACCTTGGTAGCTGTCTCTCGACACGCCCTGCCCACCTGCAAGCTTGAGCACCAGAGAGGAGCCATGGGAGAAAGCGGCGAAGAAGTCCATGCCGGAGCCGTGCAGTTTTGGAAGCCTTTCCCAACACGAGAGTGTGATCTCACAGTGGGCGATGGATGCAGGAGCTACAGCCAGGTCCAGAGCTCCTCTCGTGCCTGCGCGCCGTGCAGCAGGCCAACGCCGAGCCCATGCATTCCCACGCAACGCGAACAAACAGTAGTTTGTTCTGCGCAAGCGCTGTTTGTCCAACCAAATCCCCTGTTGCAAAGATGATTCGTTGTGCTCATGCTGCGAAGTGTTACTTGTTAATTGTTTCAATTTAGCATAAGTAGTGACAGGACAGCGTTTGTTTCCGTTGCCTCCTGACCTCAAGAACTACATCACAGGAATCCCAGGCATCAATTGTGCACTGCTGTCACACGAGCGCCGCAAAAGCGTGGCGGTACAGCAGGCAGCGGCACCCACAGCAGCAGCAGCAGCAGCAGCAGCAGCAGCAGCAGCAGCAATGAATCAACACGAGGTCATCCTGTTTCAGAGTCCGCATCAAACGGGAAGCTCAAACTCATCCAGATCCCATGCCTTTCTGCCATGTTGGAGGGCAAATGGACCGCTGTGAACATGTAGATGAAAGTTTGATGAATGCTTGGTGGAAGCCGTTAAGCTTCGCACCCGAACAGGTTCAGTGTCATGTGGAGACCTGCAAATACAGAGCTTCACGGCCTGCACCTGACCAACCAAGAGCAACATCCAGCCGTGGTACATGCGAATTGTGACAAAACGCCCGGTGAGCTGTGCGCCTCTCGGATGACTGAACGGGGATGCGAAGCTAGAAGCATGCTCAGTCACGAGCATTTGAACCAATTCAGTGGTGTAATTCGCCAAGTTGCCAAACTTGCAGTCCCTGCTGCAAGGTTCTTCGAAGCGCTTGTGTGGCAGTCGAGCGCGGAGTGGCCGTAACGGAGCGTCCATGGCAGGACATGCTGGCTGTGTTTACATAGTTCGAGGTTCATGTGCCAGCATCACCGCGAATTCATTCTCTCCTCTTCTCTGTAAAGCGGGTCCTGGCTCTTTTCGCAGCCTCGCTAAAGGTGCTTCGGTAGGGGCACGTCAGGGAACCGCTCCAGCTTCTCTCGCGTTCATTTCTTTTTTTGAGGACTTCAGTGCAGCCTGGGATACCTACCAGAGAAACCTACTGCAAGGCCTGGGCAACCGTGAAGCCCACCAGCGCGCAACATCCCTCAACTTGCAAATCATGTGACGCTGCATGCTGAGATGGTGTATAAAGTTAAAGGCAAAAGCCGATTGCGTTTCTAGCCGCCGCCGCTTCACAGCCGAACATCGTGTTCGAACATGAACAATATGTCAATATGTCATCAACCAACTCAGACCCCCCACCCCCGACCCTGAGATTTTAGAAGATGCCTCAAGATTTCTGGGTAATGTGCAGCTTGTTCATCGAGGTGCCTCTGAATTCGC